ACTTCTGTTGTTTGAAGTGCAAATCATATTGGGACAAGAGAAGGGACCACTTCGCTAATCGCCAATTCATAGAGGCCGGTTGCGTCATAAACACCCGTACTGGATTAACGTTAGAAATAACGTAAATCGTCTGTCCAACCAAGTAATGCCGCATCTTTTGCATTGCAAATACCAATGCGAGACATTCTTTCTCGATCATCGGATATCGAGACTCAGCGCCTATCAAGGTCTGACTTAGGTAATAGACTGCCTGTTCGTGACCATTATCATCGTCTTGTGCTAGTAAAGCACTTATCGAGTGGTTCATCGCCTTGAGATAAATCAAGAACGGTCTACCTGATTTTGGTGCAACGAGAACAGGAGGATTCGCCAGATATGTTTTGATATCTTTGAATGCTTTTTGGCAGGCATCGTCCCAAATGAATGACACCCCTTTCTTGTTTAGCTTAGAGAACAGTTGGCACTTCCCAAAAAGATTTGAGATGAACCGTCGAATGTAAGCTAATCGCCCTTGCAATCCTCTGAGCTCTCTTAGATTTCTAGGAGGTTGCAGTTCATGGATCGCCTTTACTTTATCGGGATCGATATGTATACCTTTAGTGGTGACGACGAATCCAAGGAATTTTCCGCTGGACATTCCAAGGAAGGATTTGGTGGGGTTCATCTTCAATTGATGACTCCTCATGAGATCGAACATCTTCAATTGATGGCTTCGCATGAGATCGAACATCGTCTTCAGGTCCTTGATGTGATCTTCTTTGTTGCGGCTTTTTACAACCAAATCATCAACGTAGCACTCGACTGTTTTCCTGAGATGTTCTTGGAAAATCTTAGTCATTGCTCGCTGATATGTGGCGCCTGCATTCTTTAGACCGAATGGCATCACCGTGTAGCAGAATACACCGAGGGGCGTTCTGAATGCTGTATGCTTCTCGTCATCTGGGTGCATCTTGATTTGGTTATATCCTGAGAAACCATCCATGAAGGACATCCTCTCGAATCCACATGTATTGTCGATAATGACATCCGTGATCGGGAGAGGAAAGTCGTCTTTTGGACATGCCGTATTCAGGTCCCTGAAGTCGATCGTTCTTCTTCATGACTGGAACAATATTGGCTAGCCAATCTGGATGTTGTTCCTCTCGGATAAATCCCGATTCGATCAACTTCTTAACCTCTACCTCAATGGCTTCCATAATCTGCGGACGAAACCGTCTTTGCTGTTGCTTGACAGGTTTGGCATCCGGCTTGATATCGAGGCGGTGCATTGCCACATTGGGGTCGAGCCCTGGCTGATGAAACATAACCTAAGCCTCGTCCATATTTATAATAATCCTCAGGCTTCCCTTTCGGTACATATACTGCTTTGGCTGGATTACGAGGACCTCGATCGAAATATAAACCTTCTCCGAGTGTGAAGTCGTATCCTTGCTTTTCCATAAGCTTGCGTGCTTCCGGACTATACTTAGACAAATGCCGACCGGGTTTGTCATCATCTTCATCTTCACTTAGGAAATGATCTGGTAACGGAGAGCTTTTTCCTTTACCGTAAATTACTTCTTTTGCACCTCCTATCTTGTTCGGGATGATCATGGTTGTTCCGAAAGAATGCCGGAGGCGTTCCTTTGTTACATAGGACGACCGAAGCGGCATATACAGCAAACCAGAATTATTATACAATTCCGTCATCATATTATCAAAAGACAAGGAGTACTCTAAATCGTCATTTATTTCATCGGTGGCAAGTTGCCAGTTACAACTGCCATCTGACGATTGATCATCGTCAAGATTGATTACAAAGGGTACAATGTCATTTAAAACAAAACCACCATTGTAATCGAATCCGGCTTCGGAATCAGCTTCTTCTCCGCTGTCCGTGCCCTGGACCGATGGTTCTGTATCGGATTCGTTACCATAAAGGAGAGAATCAGTGAAATAATTCTCAAACCCTTTAAATGGTTGTTTATCCGCGACCACCGTCCTGACCCTTCCATCAGTGTCGACATATTTCAGACACTGATGTAGGGTGGAGGGAACTATAACATTACTATGGATCCAAGGCCGACCCAGTAGTAAGTTATATGATGTCTCAGCATCAATCACGTAACACGTGACTTCCGTCTTCAGATCACCCATTTGGCACTTTATCCGGATCTTTCCCAAAGGCCTTGACCCGCTGGTGTTGAATCCGTAAATGACCGTGCCTATAGACGCCAATTTGCTGACTGGAATGCCAAGGCTATGCATAAGGCGAAGCGACATAATACTCATAGCGGAACCCGGATCCACTTGGATTCGGTTGACTTTGCTGGAGCCAATGTATCCGATGAAATATAGGGGCCGATCATGGTTCGAATTCTTCGTCTGCATATCCTCTTTGATGAAGGTGATGCAGGGAAGGTTCTTGGCCGCTATATTGCATTGTTGAACTGACGGTTCTGGCTCTTCCGGTACTGGCTTGGTCCGAGTGAGGAATGCTTCAGAATCAGCCAAGGCTTCTCGTAAGGCTTCCCTAGTCTCCTTAGATAACCGCAGCAACTCATACAATATTATCCGCGCTGGAATATTGGCTAATTGAGCCATGATATCGAAGACGCGTGGAGTTTTCAAACTCTCCGGTTTGTCTCTTCCAATCGGGCGACTAAAACGAGACTGCTTCGGGTTCTGAACTTCCTGGGGATCCTTCTCTTTTGGCTTATTCACCGGCTGTTTTCGAACCTCTTCGCCCGGTGTAGGACTCGTAATCACCCCCAGCTCTGTGATAGATTTGGCTGGTCCCCGTTTATTCACCCCCTGCTCACTAGGTGGTAGATAATTGTAGTGATACTCATTTCCGCTTCTAGTGGCAAAGACTTCTTGTTCTTCTTCGGAGAGCGGGAAAGTTAGGATTCTTTCGTCATCTTCTCCTGGGATAGCAGAGACTCCGCAGCAAGACTTTCCTTTACCTTTGGATTTCTTCTTGGATGACGATCCGGCCCATTGTTCATCTTCAACCAGGTCGGGGTGAACCTAGAGGATTTTGCCATTTGGGGCTGTGTGTGGCACAAGCCCCTTTTGGCGCTGTCCATGTGGGTCATCATTCACCGTCTTCATTCCCACTTTGGTGACGCGTTTCGGCTCGAACCATGTTGTGGGCACCGATCCAAAGCTGATTGACACTGCATTTGCTCCCACATTCTTGGAAGGCTTCGGGGTTATGACGCCCACATCAATTAATGCCTGGATCTTATCCTTGAGGTGGAAGCATGACTTCGTAGGGTGGTGTCTATGGTATGCACAATACTTCGGATCCGTCACTTTATTAGCCCCTTCTTGATCCACAATCGCCGGCAGCTGGATTTTGTTGTTCTCCAATAGGTACTTGAAGATGCCAGGCATCTCGTCATCTTTGAAGGAGTACACCTTAGGAAATCTTGGCTCCGCTCTTTGCTTCTGAGACCGTTGTTGCCATTGCGGCTGCGATTGTTGTGGCGCTCTTTGCTGCTACTGTTGCTGAGGTTGCAATTGAAAGGTTTGATTAGCATCAACTGCATTAGCATGTGCCTTACCTTTCCCCCTCGGGTTGAAATTCTATGCTGGAGCATTTGCCGCCAGTTTGCCTCTCTCCGCCTTCTTTCTCCTAAGGAATCGCTCAGCCTGCTCCCCTCGGACCTTCAGATCCTTCCACGTTATGGATGGTGCTGTCCCCATTGCTTCCAACACGTCCAAGGACAGATTATTATGGCAGAGTGATCGGGTCCCGACAGTTCATCGCCTTGTTCCGGAACCTCTTGACGAAGGTGTCGACTAACTCCCCGTCTTTCTGCTTCTCATCGAGCAATGATCCGATAGATATCTCGGTGTCGTCGTCGAAGAAATTGGTGAGGAACATGGTCTCCATATAGTCTCAGCTGTTCACACTACCTGGCTTGAGGCGGCGATACCAATCGAAGGCGGCTCCGCGAAGAGTGCCGACGAATGACCGCACCATCAGAGGCTCATTGCCGGAGATTACCCCCAGGTGTGATTTGAAATAAATCACATGCTGAGTGGGTGAACCCTTCCCATCAAACAGCGTGAAGTTGATTAAGTTGAACTTTGCCGGATATGGGATTGATTCCCATTCTCTTGGGTATGGACAAGGAATGCCTGTTTTCTTCACCTCTTGAGCAGAAATCAACGTATTGATCTTGTTCTAGAGGTTTTTGATCTTCAAACTTTCACCTGTGTTTTCGTTAGCACGATTCTGTGGCGGAAGTGTGGCATTACGACTAGCATCCTCATTACCACCCCCTGTATTGACGGGAGGATTATTGGCATTGTGAGCTTCATCTGCATTCGTATCCTCATCTTCTTGATAAACCTGGTTACGACGACTTGGCTCGCCTTGCTGGTTCGTCAGTGCTTGAATTTGTTGCTCATGCATTTCTCTCATATTCTGCATGGCCATCTGCATTTCAAACCTGAAGGTCTCCTGTTGTTTATTCATGGCTTCTTCAAGCATCTTAATTGAAGATGGCGAAAGCAGAAAGATGCCGTATGGTGCTGGAGGTGTTGGCCGGGACGGTAAGCATCCTCGGAGGGGCACTTGCGGTAATTCCATGATGACAATCTCGAGTGTTGTGTCCTGTCCCATGGCAGTGTACACAAGAAGGATCCCCAGCCATTTGTGAGGGTATACGATGAAAATAGATGACGCTGGGTTGAGGTTTTTAGCAGGGGGAGGGGTTTGCAGAGGCGCCTACGCTGGGGCCAGTAGAAGAAAGGTGGTGACCGTACCTATCGATGGAAGTTCGTATTAGGTATTTAAGTTAATTAATTTATTTAACTGACTTGGGAACACGCGAATATATGATGTGACATGTTTGTGTGATGGAACCGTCGCTTCGAAAGAAGTGAGCAGCTGGAGGTCTGAAGATAACTTAAATAATTAAAAAATTAGAACTGGCTCTGAGATAGAACTAACGAGCATGGTACAGAATAGAACTAACGTTGAATGAGTTAGAACTAACGAGCATCACTAGAACGAACATGGTACAGATAGAACAATACATCTGATAACAATCATTTTCAATTACTTAAATATACATACATTATTGTATTTGTATGAACATATCATTCATCACTGTACACTGTTTCTTCTTTATGTCTTTGTTCAAAACCAGCCAGTAATAATTGTGCGGCAAGTCTTGCTCGCATAGCTTCAGGGATATCGTTCGGAGGATTAACCAGCAATGTTGATCGTCCTTCAATTATGGATTTTACAAAGAGGTAGACGAACACACCACAGTCAAAGCTGCAACATAGAGTGAGTTCATTAGACATTTTCGGTCCGTTCGAATACTATAACACAAATTTGAACAATATAGACATCGGAACTAACCGTCCTCTTTGTTGCTCGCATTTGATGGCTTGATATCTAAATATTTGGCGCACATTATCTTCAATAAAATCAGCATGATGGGCATCAAAGAATTTTATGATTTTATTAACAGGCTCCATCCAAGCTTCGTGCCCAGCGGAGCTGTAATGCTTGACGACTTTATCTTTAAGATCAACTTCTACAAGATGCCAATGATCGTGCCTGACCAAAGGGATCAAGAGATGCTCCATACGGAATGCGGTATATTTGTCAATGAATGACAAATATAGCTCGTAATTGTTCACCTCCAAGCCATAGAGTGAGTGCTGCAAACACATCATGTTTGAGTTGAAATTAAAACAAACATGAGCTGCGAAGGCTAAGTAACACCGTATTAATTAGAACTAACACGCTACAGAATAGAACTAACACTGTGGAGAATAGAACTAACACGCTACAGAATAGAACTAACGTTCTACAGAATAGAACTAACACTCTACAGAATAGAACAACTAACACTGTGCATATTAGAACTAACACTGTGCAGATTAGAACTAACACTCTACAGAATAGAACTAACACTGTGCAGATTAGAACTAACACTCTACAGAATAGAACTAACACTGTGCAGATTAGAACTAACACTCTACAGAATAGAACTAACACTGTGCAGATTAGAACTAACACTCTACAGAATAGAACTAACACTGTGCAGATTAGAACTAACACTCTACAGAATAGAACTAACACTGTGCAGATTAGAACTAACACTCTACAGAATAGAACTAACACTGTGCAGATTAGAACTAACACTCTACAGAATAGAACTAACACTGTGCAGATTAGAACTAACACTCTACAGAACGGAACTAACACTGTGCAGAATAGAACTAACACTCTACAGAATAGAACTAACACTGTGCAGATTAGAACTAACACTCTACAGAATAGAACTAACACTGTGCAGATTAGAACTAACACTCTACAGAATAGAACTAACACTGTGCAGATTAGAACTAACACTCTACAGAATAGAACTAACACTGTGCAGATTAGAACTAACACTCTACAGAATAGAACTAACACTGTGCAGATTAGAACTAACACTCTACAGAATAGAACTAACACTGTGCAGATTAGAACTAACACTCTACAGAATAGAACTAACACTGTGCAGATTAGAACTAACACTCTACAGAATAGAACTAACACTGTGCAGATTAGAACTAACACTCTACAGAATAGAACTAACACTGTGCAGATTAGAACTAACACTCTACAGAATAGAACTAACACTGTGCAGATTAGAACTAACACTCTACAGAATAGAACTAACACTGTGCAGATTAGAACTAACACTCTACAGAATAGAACTAACACTGTGCAGATTAGAACTAACACTCTACAGAATAGAACTAACACTGTGCAGATTAGAACTAACACTCTACAGAACGGAACTAACACTGTGCAGAATAGAACTAACACTCTACAGAATAGAACTAACACTGTGCAGATTAGAACTAACACTCTACAGAACGGAACTAACACTGTGCAGAATAGAACTAACACTCTACAGAATAGAACTAACACTGTGCAGATTAGAACTAACACTCTACAGAACGGAACTAACACTGTGCAGAATAGAACTAACACTCTACAGAATAAAACTAGCCGCTTCAGACTTCGGCCTCCAAACTTTGCTGGTTGATGGCGGCTTCTTGGCCACCTCTTTCTGCAACTTCCTACGGGCTTCTTCAGCTTGAGCCCGTGCCTGCGCTGATAGTGCTCGGCGCTTGCGAATGCGCTCCTCCAGCGTTGATCGGTTCCGTTTGACACGGACCCATTCCATTGTTGGCGGCTTGGAGGAACCACCATTCATTGATTGTTGAGGCTGCTTGCCTCTTTTGTTCTTCAGATCCGCGTTGTAGCGGATCCCGTCAACTGACTCCATGGCCTTTGCGAATTGTTTCGCAAGGCGTTGACGTTGCCTTTGGCGGGCTCTCTTCGAGAGAGTCACCACGCCCTCTGCGGCAGAAGGGTTGGCGAGAACAGCTCCGACCTGGTTGGGAAATCGAGGGATCTCACCCGATGCGGCTTTGGCATCCAGCGGGGTGAGATCTTCGTTGGTGTTTTCAACGTCTTACCCGATGCGGCTTTGGCATCCAGCGGGGTGAGATCTTCGTTGGTGTTTTCAACGTCTTCAAACCAACGTGTTTTTCTCCTGGAGGAGAACTTTTTGGACTTGCAGGGGGAGGTTGATCCGGACGAGGACGACAAGTACTCCTCGAACTTCTGCTGGTCGAACTCGTATTCGACCTCCTCCACGACTGGGATCGAGATCCGCGGCGCGACGCTCCCGATCTCGGCAGCGCGAGATCGTTGGCTCCCACTGTGGTCGCCAGATTGTTCGCGGTGAAAATCGTGTCTTTCTTCATTGTTGATTCCATTGTCATCTTAGATAACACTTTTTGAGTTACAAAAGATCCGGTCTTTTTATAAGATCCGGTTACAATGAAAATCAAAGAAAAATAAACAAAGATTACAACTTTCTCCTTTTGTGTCGAACAAATCACGAGCTCCTGTTTTGCGGTCGCTCGCTTGCGTGGGTTGTTTGCCTGCGCCGGGGTTTATCCGTGGACCACCGCGAGATCTAGATCCGGTCGGATCTACGCAGTATGACGGGTATTATTTCGCCAAGGAAATAATAGCCGAGGGTACTATTTCGCCAAGGAAATAGTAGCCTTTAATTCTCGGGATCAAAGACCAAGCTTTGATCCGGAGTATGCCTGCGTAGATTTGAGATCCGGTTACTCTCGAACTATTGCCTTATTTGGCGTTGACGATCGCCGAGCACCAGATCTGGAAGAACAAGTCCTCGAAGTCCCAAATCTTGGATCTTTTTTTTAGATCTGAGTCTTCAATCCAGCAGAGCTTTGTTGGCCTTCTTGTTTTGATGATGATTTACAAACAATTTGCTACTAATATTGTTTGTCTAGTGCTTGTATTATCTATTCATTGTAGACAAACAACGTAGTTGGAGGATGGATGGATTGCGCCATAACGACGATATCAAAGGAGGTGCGCGGAATTTTGTTATGTGAAGCTAATACATGCGAATGTATAAGTATCGTAAGTTTCTAGAAGCCTCATCCGCAAAGTTTCATTATCATCTATTATTTAAGACTAATCAAGCTTGGGTATTGAGTTAGGAGTTTATATTATGTGTTTATTAAGCTCAAAGTCTTCTAAATCTTAATCACACACATAATTATTGCGTTTCTTCGTTTTTATATATATATATATAGTCATATATATAAGATAGTTTCTGTTTCTAGCATATATATAGTTTATATATATACATACATATGTTTTGAAGTTTTTATGATATATGATGAAATTCTATCATTTCATATTTTCTATTATTGTTGTTTGAAAACATTGCATAGAATATTGCAATTGTTTGCTGAAAAATATGTGTATTCTATGTTATGAGACTCAATATCAGTGTGGATACCATGTTTCTTATACCTTACAAATGTGACTATCAGTTCCCCATAAGTTATAATTTGAATCTTATAGTAATATGTGCCTAGTAAATATCAATTTCATATTTTCATGTTTTGGTATATTGTATTAATATAATATTCTATGGGAAGTCCCTTCTTTCGAAACGTCGTTGTAGCATGTTTTATTATCATGGTCTATCAACACTAACCAAATTACATGGAAGATATTTTAAACAGCTTTTTAAAATCATAATATCAATCTATTTGTATCGACTGTGTCAGATTTCGCGGATCGACCGAACGCGTCGACCGATCAGTTGGTTTTTCAGGCATTGGGCCGACAGAAGAGCGTTGCGCTTACCGGTTGCTCCACAGAGCCTTCGGCGATCCCTGCACGTGTTTTCTGTATCTTATATATGTGGGTGTAGCTTTGTGGTTCTCGTTTTCACCTTGGAAACGGGTCTGAGCCGAAACCGCTGTTGTTCGACCGAACTTTTCCATCGTCAAACCGACAGAATTACGTCGACCGTACGATGCTCTTTACTGTTTCCAACGGCTGTTTTTGTACCGGTTGGCTGGGTCTTTTGGCTTTTGTTTTGGGGTGTTTTTTGCGCTGAAGATTTCTAGTGGGTATATATTACCCCATTTGCTGATGTCTTTTCAAGAAAGCAAAGAGAGTTTTAAAACAAGTTTAAGAAAAGTTTAACAAGGGTTTATGTTTGGTTTAATTCTGATTTAAAAAAGCTTTTAAGCAATGAGTCGTTTCGGTTTTCGTGTGATTCAATTCAACAAGCAGACTATAACGGATTAGATCACATGTCTATTGTCTGGCCCAATTAAAAGCGTGTTGTGTCTTCATCGCAAAACTCTTCTGCACATTCCCACCCTTGAAGAGTAGACAAGTTTCCTAAACTCTATTTCTAGCTTTTTTATATATGTTGAAAATCTTTTATTAAGCTGAGTGTTCATATTGAGTTAGTTCCCTTTTCATATAATCCTAATTTGTCACACACACCTATGAGCCACAGGTCAATACTGTATTTACAAACTCATCAGAAGCCGATTAATTTGAGCTTGTAGATAAGTGACTTAAGCTTATGAATTTTCCGTTAGAGTATGAGTTACTTGGTTAACTCACCCTTGTTAGAGAACAATCACACCCTGAAGTTCTATCTGCTGCTTTAATTCCTGAGGTCGATTCACTTGTCACAAACACTGCTGATAGCCACCGACATTAAGTAGAAGTGGAGAAAATTTCATGTAGGTCCGGCGAGGTACTCAGGAAGATGAAGATCGTGCCGGCCGGATGTGGTGAAGACGGGGCAGATCCAAGGCAGTCGGTGTCGTTGACGTGCTAGGAAGGTGTAAACCGAGCACTTGGAGGCAGCTGAGGACACGGCTAGGACCAATCACTCTAGGTGTGTGAGGTAGTGACATCTATGCAATCAAGTGACTTAGCATTGTGAATAGTTAGCTAGACGAACAGGTGAACATTTCCCCGGCCGACGTCATTCCATATAAGCGCTGGAGCAACGGCCCTAAGATGCTTGAAAACCAAATGAAATAAACAACACGAGACCCTTCAGTATTGATCATGAGAATCGCGCTAAGAAACCCAGGCCATGCCAAATATTGAGAGAAAGCATGAGCAACAAATTTGTCATAGTGAGAGGACACCTCGCATCGCAAGCGACAGCAAAGGCGAGCCAAGTGTGACCAGTTTATCAGAAGATGGAGTGGATGACTACGCGAATGCAGGGGACGAGGTCGTGAGGGAAGCTCACGAACCTATCGTAACAATTTAATACCTTTGCCGTTTAATAGCATGATTGCGGTTTGGCGCCCCCCACTTGTTTCTTCTATATCATACTCTTACATCGCCCATTGTGATTGCCCTTCGATTTGCATATTTTGCCCCTATCACATTCTTGTAGTTAATTTGTTTACCCCCTCTTCGTTAGTTTTGATCCTTGCAATACGGTGGTAATGAGGATGCTAGTGTAATGCCACACTTCCGCCACAGAATCTGCTAAATCTGTCAAAACACTAAGTAGTCTCGTGATACATTTTTGAAGATCCAAGAGGAAACCATTATCTTATTCTAGTAAATTAATAGCAACTATCTTAGCGCACTGATCTTCTATTTTTGACATACTATATAAGGATATCACCCTGTTTTGAATAGACAATCATAGTTGCCAACTCTGTTCCTTGCACATAACTCTATCCCATGAGAGAATATCTGCATATATCCTGTGAACATAGCCAATATCTCGAGCATATGGTCTTTACATATAGTCTTTTATACAACTTCACTTGGCCTAGTTTTATGGAAGTGTAATCGTTCACTTAGCCACTCAGCATGTTGATTTATTTCAATTTAGAGCAACTGTGGACAGACGCTCCATAATCCGCCACCCCTCGTCGCCTTTAGGGAGTTCGATACAATCGGGTATCAGCACCCTCTGTTGGCCTACTCGTCTTGATTTAGGCAGCTGCTCTCGGCCAGGCTGAACCGCGCTCTGAGTTAAAGATCCAAGTTTATCTTTTTTTGTGACTATCTATTTTTGCAGCTTTAATTGTATCTTGCGTGCCCTTTTTATATTCGATGGATATGCATGCGTTTAGGTTATGCACCCATCAATATCTGCTCCTAGCATTAGCACTAATTTCCCGCATTTAGCCCGAATACGCCGTCCTTGCAAGCCAAGGTATTGTGGTGAACCTAAGACTGTTAAACCTTATCTTGTCAATATGCTAAGACACACTCTTTTTTTCCTACTACCATATATTTGCCAGAGATATGTAAACGGATACACCCGATGCTGTACTATTATGTTCTGCTCCCATTATAGTGCGCAGAATTGTACGGAAATCACTAGCTAGAAAAGTCAGAAAAAATGATAATCGCGATGTTTACTATGAACAACATTTTGTTAGAATCATTGTTAAGATGTTATTAACTCATCTATGTCTAACAAGTTTGTTCATTTTTGATTAGGTGCTACAAAGTTTGAAATTTACTAGGAAAGCCAACATCAAGGGGACTTGGAAAGGCGACGGAGGAGTCTAAACTAGCTGTACATCATTGCGTATTCAAGACAGTAGCTCAACGTTCACCGACGTATACGGAAGGCGGAGAAACTTGAATATTCACACCGCGCCACTATGGGCCATAGGCACCGCCATATCAAGTCGAGGTAGTAATTTCATATGTTTTCAAAACACGACTAATCATTTATCTACTGCCATAATATCCTGTTCCATTGGACGTGTAGGAAAGCAATGGCGACACGCACCATCCATAACGTGGAAGATCTGAAGGTAGCGAGGGAGCATGGCCTGGACGATTCACTTAGATGAAAGAAGCGGGAGAGAGAGGGCAAACTAGGCCGGCAAATGCATCCAGCATAGTAATTTCACCCTGAGGGGCGAAATGTAAGCACAATGCTAGCAGATTGCATGCTAATCAAACCTTTCAATTGCAACTCTCCCAGCAACACAGCCAGCAACGAGCGCCACAAGACAAGTCGCAGCGCAAATGGCCCAACAACGGCCTCAAGCAAGAGCGGAGCCAGATTTCCTAAGGGTACTCCTTCAAAGATAGACGATATCCGGAACGGTGTCCTGTTTTATTAGTTATTTTGGGAGGGAACACAAAATCCACTGCCGGGTTTGCCGACATTCGTGTGGTCAATTTTTTTAGCAA